TGAAACGCTGGGGACAAATTTTCGGGGCAGCCCGGAAAAAAAACACAAAATTTTCCACTCGATTCGCGACGACTTGGCATGCCATCCGTTGCCTCGCCAATTCGCGATTCTAACTTTTGAACCTTCTAACATGCACCCAACCCCTCCCACGCTCCAACCGTGGGGATGTGTGAGTATGGTTTCTAATGGTGCTGTAGGTTGCTGCAGGGCTGTTGTTGCGAAGGATCCCCCCCAAACTCTCGAACATGCTATTGCCATAAACTTTGAGAAGCAATATATATTTTGTGCTAAATTTTTCTTGTTTGAAAGAGTTGCCCTGAAACCCCCCATGCCCCCCCTACCTGGGAAGTTTTTTTTGGGCCTGCCCGGGTTTTTTTTTCCTGCCCGGGCGGAACGAATTTCCTAACGAATTTAAAACAGGGCCCTGGCGTTCGGCGAATTTACGCCAGCGTAAATTCGTCAGCGAATTTACGTGAAACGCGAATTTTCCCACTTAGGTCTGCAGCAGCACTGTCAGGCGGATGCAACCCACCCCACCCGAACCTTCTCCTCACTGCCTTCCAGAGCCACGCTACCACCACTAGCACTGTCCGCAACGTGTGTAACCTTGCTCTTGAGACGTCTCACAACACAGAACATACGTACTTGAGGAGTTCTGGTTGAAGGTCGTCCGGCGGATGTACCCCACCCCAACCTTCTCCTTGCTGCCTGCCAGCCAGAGCCAGACCGCCACTAGCACTGTCCGCAGCACGCGTAGCTATGCTCGTGAGACGTCTCAGAGTGGACGGCATACGTACTTGATGAGTTCTGGTTGAAGGTCGTCAGTCGGATGTACCCCACCCGAACCTTCTCCTCGCCGCCTGCCAGAGCCAGACCTCCAGTAGCACTGTCCGCAGTACGGGTAACGAGGCTCGTATTGCTGCCGAAGCTGCCTGCCGAACCAGCCCCTGAGGTTAGGAGGACTGCCGAGGCTTGCCGAGAGAGGTCGCAGGTTCGGAAGATAACGGGGTTGAGGGAGACCTTCTGGCGGGTGAGGGTGAAAGTAAGCTCTTGCTGCTGTTCCTGCTGACTCTGCTGCTGCTGCTGCCTCCCCCTTTGCTGCACGGCTGGCTTGATCTCTCCCCGTTGCACTGTGAGCTGGACTTGAGAGTCAGCAGGACCCCTGGTAGGGTAAGCAGGGGTGATGGGGGGTGAAGACAATGGGGTTGAGTTGAGAGAGACCTTCTGGCGAGTGAGGGTGAAAGTGAACTCCCGCTGCAGGTCAAGCAAGGGAAAAGCAGCAGCAGCAGAATCAGCAGGAACAGCAGCAGGAACGGCAGCAGGAACAGCAGCAGGAGCAGTGGCATGGCGGTGATAAGGGAGGTGACAGAGTTAGCCCCATAGAACCAGAAACCGTTAGAGCACACCCACTGCAGCCCCACTGCACCCCCACTGCTCACTGTACCCAGAAAATGCTTCAGGACTCCCAAAAACATAACCGACATCACACCCCTTGAGAGCTCAAACCCCACTCCCTGCAGGCGTTGCACCACGTTGCACAGGCCAAGTCCCTCCACCGCCTCCCCAGTCACAATCTTATCGTTCAGAACAACCCCCGCCCTGTCTGCTGACCCCCCACACCGGCACCGGCGTCACCACCACGAGGTGAGCCCAGCTCGAGCTCCACGCCGGTGAGCTCGCCCATACACCACCAATAACCCAGCCAACTTCATCAAGAACCCCCCTACCAGCAGGGCCTAGGAAAACCCTCACAGAAACCCCACTCACTGCAGTCACTGCGCCGCGTCGTACAGCCCAAGTCCCTCCACGGCCGCCCCATCCACTCTCAGAATCACGTCCTTGGGAGCCACGCCCGCCCTGTCCCCGCTGCCCCCCCCCCCCCAAGAACAAGGACTTAAGAACCCAAAACCCTGACACCCAACTCACTGCAGTCGTTGCGCCGCGTCGTACAGGCCAAGTCCCTCCACGGCCGCCCCATCCACTCTGAGAATCACGTCCTTGGGAGCCACGCCCGCCCTGTCCGCTGGGCCCCCCGGCACTGGCGCCACCACCACGAGCTGCCTCCCGTCCGGCGAGAAGCCCAGCTCGAGCCCCACGCCTGTGAGCTCGCCCTGCGTGCCGGCCTTGAGCGAGCGGAACTTGCCCGGCTCAAAGAAACGCGTGAAGGGGTCGTCTAGGGAGGCCAGCATCTTGCGAATCGCAGCATCTGGTTTGGGGGGAGGAGGAGGGGAGGAAAGTGTGGGGGGGGGAGGAGTAGAGGAGGGTGCTTATCTGCTGGTTTTCCCAATTCAAACGGCTGCCAATACCACCACAAACAGCCAGGTGCCTCCCATCCGGCGAGAAGCCCAGCTCGAGCCCCACGCCTGTGAGCTCGCCCTGCGTGCCGGCCTTGAGTGAGCAGAACTTGCCCGGCTCAAAGAAGCGGGTGAAGGGGTGGTCCACGGAGGCCAGCATCTTGCGAATCGCAGCGTCTGGGTGGAATGGGGGAAGGGAATGGGAGGGAGGGGATGGTGGGGAGGGGATGGGGGGAGGGAATGGGGGGAGGGAATGGGGGGAAGGGAATGGGGGGAGGGAATGGGGGGAAGGGAATGGGGGGAGGGAATGGGGGGAAGGGAATGGGGGGGAGGGAATGGGGGGAGGGAATGGGAGGAAGGGAATGGGAGGAAGGGAATGGGGGGGAGGGAATGGGGGGAAGGGAATGGGGGGAGGGAATGGGGGGGAGGGAATGGGGGGGAGGGGAGGTAGTGGAGGTAGGGGGGTTGGGAAGGCAAGACTTGAGCGAACGGAACTTGCCCGGCTCAAAGAAACGCGTGAAGGGGTCGTCCAATGAGGCCAGCATTTTCCGAACCAAATAGCAGCATCTGGGTGGGAAGGGGAGAAGGTATTGGGGGGAGAAGGGATTTGGGGGGGGAGGTAAGGGGGTGGGAGGGAGAGACATGAGCGAGCGGAACTTGCCCGACTCAAAGCACTGCGTGAAGGGGTCGTCCAGCGAAGCCAGCATCTTGCGGATTGCAGTGTCTGGTGAGGGGCAAAGGGGGACAAGGGTCAGAGGAGGACACAACGCCAGAAACAACGGCAGGGGGGGGGGGGGGGGGGGGGGTCTGCAGCAGGAAGGAAGGTACGAGGGGGGAAGCAAGCAAGTCCATGAGTCATATGGTCATATGGTCATGGGTTCCTTCCTCAGTGATAGTTTGCGGCTTTTCATGGGCTCTTTCCTCAGCGCCAGGTCGTGGTACCAGAACCAGCTCTGCCCGTTGAAGCTCTCACTTACCTATGCACGGTCAACATGCTTCTGTGCATTTCTATTCACAGTCGCAGATGAACGAAAACACCAGGCACGCACATGTCTGCTCGCGGTTGTTCATGGGCTCTTTCTTGAGCGCCTGCTCGCGGTATCGGAACCAGCTCTGCCCGTTGAAGCTCTTGTCCACGTACGCGCGGTCCACCACCCTCCACGCCTCTAGAAACACTAGGTTCTCCTCCGTTAAAGCCCCTGGGAGTGGGACGAGTAAGGAAACACTTGCACGTCAATCAAGTTGCTGTGCGTGGGCGGGAGAATGTGGCACCGGAACCAGCTCTGCCTGTTGAAGTTCTCGTCCACGTATGCACTGTCCACCACCCTCCACGCCTCCAGAAACACTAGGTTCTCCTCCGTCAAAGCCCCTGGGAGTGGGACGGGGCGAAGGAATGAGATAGCCCTTTAATCAAGTTGGTGTGTGTGGGAGGCGGGCTAATCAAGGGGCTCAAACGTCCACATACACACGGTCGTCCACCCTACACCTCAAGAAACACAAGTTTTTCCTCTGGCAAAGCCCCTTTGTATGGGTGAAATGAAGTGCCCCGAACATCCACACACGCACGGTTTACCACCCTCCACGCCTCCTGAAACACAAGATTCTCCTCCGCCAATGCCCATGGGTGTGGAATGAGGAAAGAAATCAACTCCCCCCCTGTACTGTACAGCCCCTGTGTATGGGAAATCGCATGTTGTAGGTGCTCGAAAAGTCCCCATGCTTCACCATCCTCCTCGTTTCCAACAACAGATTTCTAATGCTCTGGAAATTCGTCTCCGTTAGAGCATTGACCAGTACATGAAAGTTACGAGCCTGTACGGATTGGCCAACGAGAGAAAGACGGGTATACGAAGCGACAGAGCAACAGCAAAGGATAGGTTCCAACTTGCTCAGGCCACGGGGAAGGACACGAGTCACAAGGCCAGCAGAACAGCCGCTGCCATGGTGCCGATGAACAGGCTAAGATCAACCAGGAGAGAGAAACGGAGAGGAGGCGCCAGACAGAGACCAGGAGCATGGGAGAAGACCTTACGTGCTTGGCCCACGGGGAAGGACACGAGTCCCACCGCCAGCAGAACGACGGCTGCCATGGTGCCGATATATTGTCTCCAGCCAATCTCGGCAGTGCCTGCTGCGTTGCTTCCGCCTTTGCCGTCATTCACGCCGCTGCTGCTCCTGCTGCGGTTGCTTTCGTTGCTGCTCTGGCGATTGCCGCTGCTGGTGCGGCTGCTGCTGCTTTTGGAGGATCTGGCCTGAGAGATTGAGCTTACGATGTGGCTTCTAACAGCCGTGACATCACGAAAATTTGAAGGAAGGATGGGAGCGGCTGGAGACATTTGGGTACGATCATTGTCGTGGAGCCCTTGGGAATGTCGCGCGGTTGAACTTAAACGGCACGTCCTGCTGCTGGATGCACTATTTAGAGAAATAGGAGAGGTATAACGAGGCTCGTTGAATAGCGGATTAAGTGGTGTGTACCGCGAAAGAGCAAAGGAGGCGTGGAAGCGGTTCCGTGGGAAGGGAAGCGGAGAGCTTTGCGAAGATCGCACTGAGGTTCGCGAAGTTTGCGAAGAGCATTGCGAGGGTCGCGAAGAACGCTGCGACGAACGTTGACAGTATTCCTGGGAGGCAGGACTGAGTCTCGCTGATGATGTCACATCGGCGCGCAGCGGAATGCAGCACGCCATTTGTGGGTAATGGCTAACGGGAACCAGGGAGAAAGCGATACTAGTAGTTGGAATATTTGCAAACAAAAATCACATAAAATGTGGGAAATTTGAAAAGTACGCTGGCAATAAAATCAGCTCTCTAGGCTCCAGCGGACGTTGTTGCACAGGCGAGAAAGATATTAAAGTTGAAGATAACCGTAGAAGAGATCTTCGCGTCAGCACAGCGTACTTATCGTCGCCGCGCTTCAAGGGAAGTTAAATGCCAAGCGGCTCCCACGTAATGAATCTCCTTCGCAATCCTCGCTACGCCTATCGTCCTTTCCTACACGCTGGTATCAGTACCTACTATTTTATGGCTACCTGGTGTTGATTCAAGTGTGGCTGGACAACCAAGTAGAGAACTAGCCGTTGCTCTTGGCAGCCACAGTCTGTCAGGGCGCGTTTACCATCGCTCAGTTCAGGTCGATCATATAGTGGTAATTTGGTTCGTAAAGGTTTGGCCCTGGCTAGGCGGAACAATGGCCTAAAACCTACCCTCAATTTTGATTCTTCGTCAAAGTACACCTGGCATAGAGGCTGAATCGTAGCATAAATTACGTACAACCACGTCCCAAAGGACGCTCTGACCCTTTGGGATTGGATCAGCGTGGCAGCACCGAGAGCCACATGTCAGAACCAGCAACCAAACTGGATAAACGCGCAAGTATAGAAACAAACTGTTTCTTATATATTCAACTAGATCTAGTCAATCAATTACACTATGTGCCTTGTGTGTTAGAATAGGGAAATAGGGTTTAGCTAGGTAGGAGAAAGTAGCGAGAGAAAAGAGGGCAACTAGAGAAGAGAGAGAGGTACAAGAGAAGTGTTGTCCCCTCTACAGTAAGAGCCAGTACCAGTAGCGCACCTACCTAGCCTACACATACATATCTATAAAATATGTATGTTGACACACCCCCTACGCTTGGTAGGCGCTACTCACAGAAGCAAGAGACCAGGGCAGCACTGCTAATATGTCCACTGGTATGAGTAGCAAGAAGAGGTCACACCACACACCCAGCACCCCCAAGCCCTAACACCCTCATACACAGCAGCAGCGGTGGCTTCTTCAGCTCGTTTGACCTCTCGGTGTGCGAGGCGGCGACGTCAGCGGCGGGGGCAGCGGCGACGACGACAGCAGCGGTGGCGGAGCCAGCGGTACCTGCGGCGGCGGCGGCGGCGGCGGAGACCACGGCACCCGGTGGCGTGGCACGACTCTGCAACGACGGGGAAGGACGGTACAAAACAACAATCAGCTGCGGCGGGGAGGAGGGGAGACGCAGGGGAGGGGGCAGGTCTTCGGCGGTGGAGCCATTTAGCGAGGTACCAAGTTGTACACAGTGCCGATGATAATCTTTAAGCGCAAGCGCCTCAGTAAAGATATCAGCTGTGTTGGCACCAAAGGCCAAGTGTACTACGCAGGTCTGGCGGCACTGCTGTAACTCGCGCAGGAGGAAGTACCGCAGCTGGATGTACTTCGCTCTACCCTCCAGTCAAGGCTCCTGACAAAGGAGGATCATGGCCCTGTTGTCAGCGTATAGGGCAGGGGCAGAGCTAGGCCGCTCACTCGAGTCTGTACGCAAGAAAGTCAGCCAACGGAGCTCCTGTGCCGCCATGGCACCAGCATAGATCTCAGTCTCACAGCTAGACTGTGCAACAGATGAAGAGCGGGTGGACCTCCACGAGATGGCGCCTGCACCAAGGCTAAAGCAGTAGCCCTGAGAGGACCTGAGCGTCTCAGCGTCGTCTGCCCACAAAGCGTCTGTGTGCCCTGTAAAGATCACTGGCCTGCGCCCTCCTAGCACTAGCCCCATGCCCGATCTACTGGTTAGATTATGCAAAACCCTTTTAACGGCTGACCATTGATGTGCTCGGTGTCTACCCGTGGCCACAAAGCGAGCCAAGATGCTGAGAGGGTATGCGAGATCTGGACGAGTGCAAGTCATCAGGTACATGAGGCAACCCACCAGCTCCGCGTAAGGACCACGAGGCTCTATAAACTCCTCAGGGACTGGAGTCGAGAGGCTGTGATCTACTGGCAGAGATGTGGGTTGTGTGGAGGAGAACTGAAAACCGAATCTCTGAAGGACCTACCGTACCAAGTGTGACAGTGTGAGACTGATGGTGCACGCTGCTCTTTCCCTGTAGATCTGCAGGCCAACGTAACGGCGCAGCTCTCCTAGGTCAGTGCAGGTGTGTCTCCTTAGCAGCTCAGCCTTCACGGAGGCCAGTGTGTCTCTGCCTGGAGTAGCAAAAACGAAGTCATCTACGTAGACAAGGATGTAGAACGGGGTCTGACCAGAACAAACGAAGAGCGAAGGGTCTGCAGACGATAGGAAGAACTGCAAATCAGCTAACGTAGTACGCAACGTATCGTGCCACTCACGGGGTGCCTGCCGCAGGCCGTAAACCGGGCGCCGGAGGAGCCATTTAGTCCCAGGGGCGAAGGTGCCAGTGAAGCCTGGCGGACAGCGCAGGTAGACTTGCTCGTGTAGACTACCCTGGAGAAATGCAGTCGAGAAGTCGAGGGAGTGCAGCTTCTAGTCATGCTGTGCTGCTACATATAACAGCGCCCGAAGAGTGGTCATCTTCGGGGTAGGGGCGAAGGTCTGAAAGAATTCAACACCCTCGCGCTGACTAAAGCCTATAGCAATGTAGCTCGCCTTGAACACCGGCGGCTCTCCAGGAGGGCGCTTCACCTTGGTGGGGGAACTGTATCGACGTAGATTCCGGTGGATCTCGAAGATGCCATCTCTACATCCATGGCAGCTATCCACTGAGAGGCCCAAGGTCCCAAGGTCGCCTCAGCGTAAGTGCGAGGGGTCGAGATATCAAGGTCACCCTCCGGGACTAGCAGCATGGAGCAGCATTGAGGAGCCCTTTCAGAAAAGAAAGCTAGCTCGAATTGCCTGTCCTCTAGGACGTTACTACCAAGGGCAGATGCACCCTCGACGGACGGAGGATAGGCATGGTCAGAGACCGGAGCGGTGGCGTAGTCAAGGCTGCGGGTAGAGACAAAGTCAGTGACGGCAGCGACAAGAGCCGAGAGACTAGAGACAGGTTCAGACGGGTCGGTAACGAGGGAGACGAGGACACAAGGAACAAGAGGACTAGCGACACGAAGAAAGTCAGCCAGAGGAGGCGAAGAGACAACAAGCGACGACTGGGGAGGCGACGGGAGGAGCAGAGCACGAGACGCGTGAGAACGAAACAATATAGGGTGAAAGCGCTGAACAGGAGAAACAAGATGAGAACAAAAGGCACGGTGAGACACTGTAGGAGAACGAGGGGGGAAACGAGCCGGGGACGAGTCAGACGGAGGAAAGACAGGTTCATAGACAAGCGGGGGAGGTAGCGGCGGGAGAGGTGCAGGCGGGTGGTCGGGGAAGGGAAGACCGAGGAGGCAAAGGGCGGACACCGGCAGCGACTGCTGCTGCTGCTTCTCGTCGACACCAGAATCTCCAGCTGCACCACGGCTACCTCCGTGACGCTCCACGCCAACACCCTCGGGACGAGAACCCTCTCCAACACCGGTGCCACCCCTAGGGCCGTTGGGACAAGCCACGACAGCATCCCCAGGACTAGCCCCTCAGAACGAGAAACCTCTCTAGCATCCGTGCCACCCAGAGGACCGTCGGGACAAGCCACAACAGTACCCCCAGGACTAGCACCCTCCTCAATGCCCGCACCCCCAGAGCCCGCAGACCCCTGCGGCAGCGGCGGCTGCTGCTGCGGTGGCGGCAGCGGCTGCTTCGGCGGCTACGGCGGCGACGGCAGCTGCTGCTGACGGCGGAGGAGGAGACACCGGGGCGGAGACAGGCGGCGAGACCGGAGCTGCAGGACCCCCAGAGTCAGCCGACTCCTCCGCTGGGACAACCGGGGGAAGGGGAGTGACGTGAGACACACCAGATAGGGCAGGACGGGGAGGGGGAGGAGCAGGGGCTACCAGGGGAGTGGGGACCAAGAACAAGGGCGGGGTAACTGGGAGACCTCGGTGGGGAAAGCGGGTGTAGAAAGAGACAAACTCGTCAAAAGTGATGTCACGAGAGTGAAAGAAGCGGTGAAATGGCGGGTGGTAAAAGTGTCAGTCAGACGCGTCGAGGGGAAGCCAAGGAAGACACAAGGGATAGTGCGGGTAGTGAGCATGTCCGTGCCAGAGGCATGAACGTGAGCAAGGGAACCCAAGACGTGGAATGCAGACACGTCACTTGGAGACTCGGTCCAGAGGAGGGTCGGCGAAACCTGCGGCCGCTGGGAGTGCGGCCACAGGTTAAGATGGTGAGCGGCGTAGCGAACAGGGAACGGCCACAGAAAATGGGGTGCACCGACATAGATCATGAAGGTACGGGCCACCTCCATGACCAAACCGATGCGTTGTTCAGCGACCCTATTCTGCTGCGGGGAGTACAGCAGGGTGTACGACTGGGTGATGCCCTCCGCACGATAGAACTGACCAAGCCGTCCGGAGGCGAACTCGCCGCCACAGTCAGAGTGGAGACGGAGCACAGGGAGGCCGCGGTAGACCCGCGCAGCTACGACCCACGGGATAAAAACGTCATGCACGTCGGCCTTCTGCTCCATGGGAAACACCCTGGTGTAGCGCGTGTAGTCGTCAACGAGCACTAGAAAGTAGCGCTCTCGACGCGGCCCAGGGACGGGGGCTAGGCCCCAAACGTCCAAGTCCAGGGTATGGGGCGGCGCAATGGTGGGGGGAAAAGAGGAGGAGTCAAGAGCACGGTTCTGCTGGCCCTTGACGCAGGGCGTGCACGGCGGCGCGGGGGAGGGAGGGAGGGCAGGGAGCGACGCAGGGAGACCTAGGACAAGACCGTGCTGGGACATGTCACGCAGACGCGGGAGTGCGGGGTTACCTAGGCGGTGGTGCCACAGAAGCGTCAAGTGAGTGAGCGACCAACACGAGCAAGCCGCATCGACCTGGGTAGACGCAGGCATCTGGGGGGACACCCCCACTGGGGGGGACGCATTGTCCAGCGTGAACAGGCCAAACACCGGGTCTTGTGGGGACGTGGTGAGGGGGGCACCTGTGGCGGCCTCTGTACAGACAGCGTACCGCTCGTGACCAGGAAACGTAGTGGTGACGCCGAATTCCTGAAGACAGCCGACACCAACTAGGTTCCTCAAGAACGAGGGGATGTGCAGGCTTATAAGGGAGCCCGAGGGAACCGTCAGATAGTGGAGCTACATGCAACTACCAGACCTGAGCACGGGTCAGCAAGCGCGACAGCGGCAGGGGCGGCAAGCGGTGTAAGCGCAGTGTGGTCGCGGAAGAAGCAGGCACACACACCAAAGTCTAGCGTGAAGGAGAGAGCAGCGGTAGCGTCAGCCGGTGCAGGAGCTAGCGTAGAGCCAAGGCTAAACAAGGCAGGAG